AAAAAATGGGCAAAAGTCAGGAAAGGTGACGGAAATGATCTTCAGCCTTGAAAAGACGCTTAAGCTGGTTCCCTAACAGAAATGCAAAGTGAAGGAAGGCCTCTCACCTCTCAGACCACAGGGCCCCGCACAGCCTGAGGGGGCAGCTTGCAAATCTGTACACTCTGACCCAGCTATTGCACTGCTGGGGACGTGCCCTTTAGACGACCCTGGCCCTGAATGAGGAAATGCTGTCCTAAGCTATCTATGGCTGCCTTGCTTCTAGTACCAAAAGACTGAAAAAAACCCATGTCCATCGAGGAGGGATGGAAATGAATGGGACTCCAGCAGCCTCTGGGGACGTGCCCTTTAGACGTCCCTGTCCCTGAACGAGGAAATGCTGTCCTAAGCTATCTACGGCTTCTAGTACCAAAAGACTGAAAAAAAAACATGTCCATCAAGGAGGGATGGAAATGAATGGGACTCCAGCAGCCCTGGGAGAGGGTGGGAGCCTTCATGTGCATGTACTGACGTGGAACACCCACCAGGCGCATGAGTAGGTGAAAAAGCCAGAGCAAGCAGCATGTGGGGCTAGAGGCACCCCGAGATGTGCAAACGCTCGCTCTCCCGCCTCAGGAGACAGAACGGACACTTCGGTGAGACATGGTCTGAGCAGGAATAGTCGTCCTTGCTTCCAGGGTGAGTGACCTCAGGGTCTCAGCGTAGCTTCTGCCTAAGGAAGCCCAGCATTACCTCCTCCTGCCCTCATTCCCAGAGCCCAGGTGGGCCCCCCCTTGTCTGCAGGCATGACAAGACCCTGCACATGGACCCCACTTCTGGCTGCCTGCTGGGCACACAGCCCAGCTCTCCCCTGCAGCCCTGGGCTCCGTGTCGCTGTGACACTGGCTGTCCATGTGCCGAGCTTTAGGGGACCCCTGGCCACCGGCGTCAGACAGGGGAGCTCTCCCTGTGGAGGGGTGCCAAGGGTTTCCTGGGAAGACGGCCCAAAGTCCCGTTTACTTCCTCCTCTGTCCCAGCAATGCCTGGCCAGGGCTCCCTGACCATCTGCTTCCCAGGGTGTGGGTGGAGGAGCCCCTTACCTGTCGCTCGGGTTTATGCGGCTCCATCATCTTCACCACCTGTCCCTGCTGCACCAGGACGACCTGGGAGTCCCCCAGCCAGGCGATGTGCAGGGTCTTTCCCGTGATGAGTGCACACACGCCTGTGGTTCCACTTTGCAGCCGCTGTGGGAGGAGAGGGCCGAGCGGGTGAGGGTGGGCCAGGCACCTGCCCCGCAGGCACACGTAGTCCGATGAAGAACTAACTGTTGGAGGCGTGCTCAGAGAGAGGGAAGGGCTGCCGGCGGCACCGTGATCACTTCCATTCTGTGCGCAGAGCGTCTGATGATGGTGCAGCCCCCACCCCAAATCTCCTCACCAGCTGTGTCAACTGGGGCAGGTCAACCGGGCCTCAGCTTCCCCAAGTCTAAATGGACATATCTCTGTATCGACCCCACAGGCTGCGGGAGAACCACTGAAGAGCACACAGGTAAGGCGCAGCGCTGGGTTGAGGGGAGGACGGGTTCTTCCTTCGTTCAGAAACAGATGCCTCATCCCTGTGTGGCTCTAACTCCTGAGGACAGAGCACTCCCAGCGGACACCAGCTCCTGCTGGGACCCTGCCCAGCAGAGCAAGGGCAAGTGTGGCTGCATATGAATCATGAGTTTTGTTTTCTCTATTTTATTTTTCTTAAATATATTTTTATTGATTTCAGAGAGGAAGGGAGAGGGAGAGATCGAAGAATCAATGATGAGAACCACTGATTGGCTGCCTCCTGCACGTCCCACACTGGGGATCAAGCCCACAACCCAGGCATGTGCCCTGACCGGGCATTGAACCCTGACCTTCTGGTTCAGAGGTCAACGCTCAACCCCTGAGCCACGCTGGCTGGGTTGTCTCCTGTATTTTATGATGATTTATACTTCATGATGATTGTGTTTTCTGTATTTTATGATCATTTGTATTGGCCTTGCTAATCCTGGAGAGAATGCCCCACTCCCCACCCCCTGGGCCAGCTAATTCCCAAAGATATCAAACGTCTCCCCCAGGAGACCCTTTCATGCACAAGCCAGTGGGTCAGGAGCCCACGGCTTCAACCACTTGCTCTGCCTCTCACGCTGGGCCAGTGTTTCGCTGGCTCCGAGAGCTGGGGGCTGCCCCTGCGGCCCAGGGCCTCTAGAGGTGATTCCAACTACCCAGTCCTAGGCTTGCTGTGACTTGCTGGCCCTGCCTCTCCCATGCTTCCTGCAGAGGCCACAGTGGAGACCCTGGCCAGGCTCTCCTCTCTCCCTCTGCTTCCTGACCCACGTGGTGCTTCCCCTGTGGCACTGTGTGGCACGGTGCACCCTCGTGGGAATTGTAAGTAACGAACTCCTCTAAGTAATAAATTCTTCTTTCAGGACAATTGTCTGTCATTCCACCATGCTTGAGTAAAACAAAATCCTGGGCCCTAGCCGGTTTGGTTCAGTGCTTAGAGCATTGGCCCACGGACTGAAGGGTCCCAGGTTAGATTCCGATCAAGGGCAAGTACCTCAGTTGAAGGTTCAATCCCTGGTCCCGGTTGCTTGGGGCGTGTGCGGGAAGCAACCAATCAAAGTGTCTCTCTCACATCGATGTTTCTCTCTCCCCCTTCCTTTCACTCTCTCTAAAAAAATTCTTTGGCCCTAACCAGTTTGGCTCAGTGGAGAGAGCGTCAGCCTGCAGACTGAAGGGCCCCAGGTTCGATTCCGGTCAAGGGCATGTACCTTGGTTTCGGGCGCATCG